GGCATTGGCTTTGGTAGCAGGTGTGCTATGCTGGGGTAAATGGTCACACATGTGGCATTCAAATGAGTGTATGTCTCATACCTTGGGGTAGGGTCTGTCCTGACACGTGCTTGGCCTACTGTGTTGACTGCCTGGGGGCGGGCGTTATTGTGGCGATACTCTTGGTTATCGCGATAATGTCCGTTACTCATTTTACTAAAATAGGACTAGTGAGAATGAAAAATTTTCCTTTTGCCCTGAGATTGATATGTCTGTTGACATAGCGAAGTATTAAGTATAGCAAGAGGAGGCACCGCTGCCGTTTGGAAGGTCGAGGTCTTCTCATTTGGTTGGATCTGGCTTCTACTCCCTACTTGCTGATAAGGGTTGGCTGTGAGGGGGTTTCCCTTCATATATCATTGCCTTAGCGGAGACATGGTTGTAAGCATGTGCCATCACCTCAGAGTAAGTATTTCAAGTGTTGGCATTGATCATGTACTTGAAGAAACAATCACGTAGGCTTGCCGTGAAGACTTTGAGGGTAGTCTTGTTGTCTGCCTCGGCACAACGGGAATACTCATGGTTGAAGCGGCCAGCATACATACGTAATGACTCGTCTGGCTTTTGGCGAATAGTGTACAAGTCATCCGCAGAGTGCAAGCGATCGGTCTGAAAAATGTGTTGAGAAATAAATAGTTTCCTTAATTCCTCAAATGAGTCTACCGTCTCAGGTGGAAGACTATAATACCAGTTTAGAGCTCCGCTAGAGAGGGTGGAGAGAAAGAGAAGACATCGTTCTTCGTTGGTGTGCATCCGGTATGCCATGGTGGACTTAAAGAGGTTAAGGTGTTTAATCAGGTTCTCCTTTTCAATATAGAGTTGCAAGACAAGCTTCTGCTTGGTCTTTGCTTAGAGGGGGTGTCGAGGATCCTCCTTGTAAGAGGGCCAGACCTAGGTTGGTTCCAATTAGGTATCTCAGCTTGTCGCTCAACCTTCAACTTGTTTACTTCCTTAAGGAGCTGTAGGACAAGAGGGTCCTGAGTGGAGTCATGTACCACTAGAGCTTTCTTTCGTAAATCTCCATCTCCTCTTGGAAGTAGGAATGTTTGATCAAGAGCATGTGATTTTTCCCTAGACTCGCCGTATTGACTTCCAAGGTATGTCTGTCGAAACATCTCTGAGTCCCTTATACCTTCGTGTTTCTCTAGGACTTATTGCCCCTTCCTCAAATTGGTAGCCGACCTGGGACATGAGAGGGGACCAAGTTTTTCAGAGACCCTTGGGTCATTGATCTTCGAGCTTACATGGATGCGATTGTCTCGATGTTGCTTTAGTAAGTCTCGACAGTCGCAAAAGATGGCTTTCAATCCTTCCACTCCTTCTGTAAGGAGGTGTCTTCCTCCACTCCTCCTGCTTCAGGTCGAAGCAATTGGATTGAGAGAAGTCTTATGTTGGTTGCCATTTCAATGAGTGGCTCGCTCCTCAACAGGAATACCCATGTCGAGGGCAAATGACGTTTCATGTTGAGGGCACCTAGTTAATGGTTGACTTCCACAAGGGTAATGAGCTGGTGTGTTTTAGTATATCTAGCCTCGTGGAGCATCTCGAAGACCTTCTCATACTGCTCTTGGAGGATCTCATTCTTCATCACTATCTTGTTGTTCTGAGCCTTCAGCTCATCGACTTTAGCTTGAAAAGCAAACTTCTTTTGTTCCTTCATTCGTTGCTTCGCACTAGGTGCAAGAAAGGTGTCATTATGTGTGTTGTGGCTTCTTTCGCTCCTCATGTTGGAAAGGGATGTCTGGTCAAAAGAGAGTGTACGAATGGTGGAAATCAGCTTAACAAAGCTGAAAAGAGTGGGAATAAGTGTCGTTCCCACAGACGGCGCCAAATATTGATGCACAAAATCAGTGAGGACTTTGGTACAATAGAAATTGTTAAGTTTGTGACCTTCGCTAGATTACTCCGGTCACTAGTGTGGATAAGTATGTAAATGGATAGAGACAGGGAAGCAAACACAAGATGTACGTGGTTCACCCAGATTGGCTACGTCCACGGAGTAGAAGAGTTCTCATTAATTGTGAAGGGTTTACACAAGTACATAGGTTCAAGCTCTCCTTTAGTGAGTACAAGTGAATGATTTAGTACAAATGACATTAGGAAATATTATGGGAGAATGATCTCTTTTTATAGAAGAGTTTTTAGCTTTGTTCTGACATTGACATGTGTCGTGTTGTGATTGGCTTCTGATGTTGACACGTGTCGTGATGTGATTGGCTTCTGATGTCAACACGTGTGGCACTGTGATTGGCCCCTAGTTGGAGGGAAACTCTTCTGGGTCCTTGACGGTATAACGTTAACCAGTGCTCAGTAGTTTCGGGATTGATCAAGTATGGTACAAACAATATATATGATTCACATGAAGACTGTTTAGGCATCATCTAGGAAGGTCGAAACCCTACGAAAGATCACATAAAAAGCAAACACAAGAAAATGATGCTGAAAACATAATTCAAGGGCCTAGACAAGTCTATTCTAAACTTAGACCAGTAGTGTATACCATATGCAACCTCTGCATGAAATGACATAATATGTACGATAGATCTATTGTTAGTTTCCTTAACATATATAGTTAGGTCCTTAACGCTACCCATTTAATGAAGTTGGGAGATACTCTCATGTAATTAGAGACGTCACATGAAAAATATTTATTAGATGATCAATGAACTTTTTAAATACCTGTCAAATTATTCATTGGAACGGAGACATCACTTGGACTATTTATTGGTTGCAATAGAAAAAAAAAATTAAATTAAATGTATGCGAGTGTATCTTTTATTGCACTTCGCTTTTGTCATATCTTTAGAGTGAGAATCCTGGATTCTTTTTGTGATGATCTTAGGGATCCTCAAATCATATCCGTTCATCGTACATCGTGCATTGTGGTGAAGCCACATGAGGGCGAGGAGTGGTGGCCGCCACTCCCCTCGTCGGAAAACACAACTGGAGTTTTAGTTCAGCCCTTCCCCTTGCCGAAAAACCCAACTGGTTCGGCCCACTGCTGTTGTCCGTGCAGCAGAGCTGTTTTGTTTTTTTGTTTTTTAAAACATCCAAGCTGTCGAAATTTAGGATGGATTTGGTTCTGATCGTGTGACGTGGCATTGCGCTGCTGGTTTGGTTCTGGCTTCACGGAATCTGCGTTTTAATTTTTTCTTAAAATACCCAAACCAAATGACGTCGATTGGACTAGGGGTTTGAAAAAAAAAAAAAACAGTGTGGTTTGTGGGAAAGTGTGGTGCCAATTAGAGATTGAGGTGTGGGATTGTGGGGACCGTCTAATGAAATTCAAGCACCCCGTGATTTGTATTTTGAATGAAGATAATCAATTCTTTATTCTGGTCTCATCTAGAAAGAAAACTATAAGAAAATAAATACAAAAAAGTTAACGTAAAATCAAATAGAAATTTACAAGACATCATTTTTTTAAACCAGGAGAAAATATGAATTTTATATTTCATTTGCAAATTTTCTATTCTAAGTGGCAAAGATTTTCGATGAAAATTGACTATCTTATAAAATATGGGTGGAAGACTTGGGTGTTAGAGAATGAGTCTTGTCAAAATCAATTGTAACTCCTAGGGATATGAATTAATATTGTAACTTGATTCTGATTGTATCTATATAGGATGAGATTCTTACTTGTACACAAGCATAAACGTTATACAAATATAAGCTTTTGTATTATGAATCATTCAGAATATATTTTCTATATTAGGGGTTAGAGTGTCAATTGAAAGTAAAAAAATTTTGGTAAATAAATTCAGTGGAAGATAACAATGTATTACAAGATGGTTGTGGTGTCATGCCTATATATATATAATTGATGACTAATCATTGTGATTTTTTTACATGGGTACTATACCGTGTTTGATCTTCAAGACCTCACTTATGGTGACCTCGAATTTTTTACATAGGTACTTCCGTGTTTTCATGACATGAAACTTCGTTGATAATAATTGAAATTTACTTGTATTGATAGATTATAAACGAAATTAATATTGTCTACTATTTAAAATGTTTTGGTTGTCTACATTTTTTTAACCTTTTATGCTTTTAAATATCGCCCCTCCTCCCAACAATTTTTGTCTTTGCCACTGATCGTGCGGTCAGAAATCATTGTAATTTTTTTTATTTAAAATTGAATATAAACAGTATCTAACGAAAATTGGTTGCATGATGCACGATGAATGAATGTGATTGGAGGATCCCAAGAATCATCTCTCAAATCCTTAATCATGGTAGAATTGGTTTTTCTTTAGTATGCACTAAGTGCCAACGCATATTTAACGGTAGATTTTTATCCAATTGTTTAAACTCGTTGGTCGAGGACTGCTGGATGAAATCCAAATCAAAGATGTGTCCGACACTTAATGCTTATAACTTATAAGTACTAAAAAATTTGTGCAATGAGATACAATATATTATGTTGCAAGTAAGTTTCCCGGTTTTAGTTAAAATATTGTGGAATGGTTATAAAAAGAAAATCTAGAAAAAAGATCTGGATCTCTTCCTTCAAAATTCATGGATCAAGTAATTTGAATCATTGAAATTGGATCAAACGGTTAAAAATTAATTTTTTTACTAATTTTTCTGTTTTTTTATTGTTTGATCAAATTTCAAAAGCCTAAATTGCTTAATTAGCAGATTTTAGAAGAAGAGATCCGAAAAAGATCTCTTTCCGAAAATCGGATCCATTTCATTCATCATAACATACAGATCATGATAAGAGAGAAGAAAAATAGGGCAGGAGAATCTGAAAAATATTTTTCCGGAGAGATGGTACAAAGATCCTGCCTTTCATCATTAAATATCTAAAAGAAAACAAAACTCTGGTGATTGTTTTACATCTCTGCAGAGTAAAGTCACAACGAACCAGTCATCCCCGTGACACTTTACCTGCACAAACATAAAAAAATCATGTCTTTGCATCATCAGATTTTAACACCATCCCCCCCCCCCCCCCCGCCCCTCTCTCTCTCTCTCTCTCTCTCCACACACTCGTTTTCTCACATCATAATAACCCAGAAACTCTCAACCAACCGCACATACTCACACAACCTCTCTCTTTCTCTCTCTCTCCAAACTCTGACTTAGCATTTAAGCACATTTTGGCAAAAGGGTGAGAGAAAATGCCAAAACCAAGCGCATGTTTGAGGGAGTTAAGTGGAAGGGAGGCTTGGAAATCAAAATCAAGGAGGTGGGGTGGGGGTGGGGGTGGGGGTGGTGGTGGAAATAACAAGTCTTTCAGTGGCGGAGTTGGGCGGTCTGAGGGAAAAGGAGGAAGCTTTCAGCATATGGAAGGGCTTCAAAGCATGTATGGCAACAACAATGGTGGTGGCGGTGGTGGATTTGAAACGAGGAAGAGAGTGATGGTGGTGGTGGATGACTCATCACATTCCAAGCATGCCATGATGTGGGCCCTCACTCATGTTGCCAACACGGGTGATTTGCTTACTCTCCTCCACATCATCCCTTCTTGCCATGACTTTTCCTCCTCACCATGCCTTGCCAACTCCCTTAGCTCCCTCTGCAAGGCTTGCAAGCCTGAGGTACATTCCAGTCGTCTTTCTCGTAGTTCAGATTTTAAATTATATTAGAATATCGCTCGAATAACAGAAGTAAAAGAGAGCTGGCTAGATGGAAAAGCTAAATTGTTTTCTTAATATTTTGCTTCGTTGATAGATCCTACTAGAAGAGGCTGAGAGTGTTTTCGTTGTGTTTGATAGATCCCAAGAGCTAGCTAGATGAAAAAGCTAAATTGTTTTCTTAATATTTTTGCTGATAGATCCTACTAGAAAAGTCTGAGAGTGTCTTCATTGTGTTTGATAGATCCCAATTTTCTGGGACTTGGATTGTCTGCCCTCTAATTGTGGTGCCCACCTGTGCCCTTCTGTTTTTGTAGTCACGGTTAAGTCAAGTCAACATTTTATATTACTATTTCTTCTTTTTGTTTTATTATTTTTATAAAAAAATAATATAAAATATTAACGTGGCTTAACCGTGACCACACAAAACAGGAGGGCACGGAGAGGGCACCGAAATGGGAGGGCAGACAATCCAAGTCCAATTTTCTGGTCCCCAACCTTTTAATTCTTTTTCCCTCCTTTTTCGTTGGTTTATTTAATTTTTTACTACTTTTTTTTGTCTTTTCTATTCTTTAGAGGGAGAAGGGTAAATGACTTTTTCCAGTGGCAATTTCACTCTCAAAATTATCCTTTTCTTTTTCTTTTCCGTGCGAGAAGGGAAGAGTGACGGACTTTTCAGTTGCTTTTGCCTTTATTTTTCCCAGAAAAAAAAAAGAGAGGGGACACAGTTTCTGTTGTGTCACTCAACATTTATTTAGTCATGTGTTTATATTATTAATTATTTGTTTATTATTTTTGGGACAAAATAATATTTAGGTGGAAGTGGAAGCTCTTGTGATCCAAGGTCCAAGACTGGCCACAGTTATAAGCCAGGTCAAGAAGCTTGAGGTTTCAGTGCTAGTGCTTGGTCAGAAGAAGCCATCTCCCCTCATCAGCTGGTGGGTTCTATTTCACTAATCCCTTCTTGCAAAAAGCCGTATTAGTGCACGGTCTGGTTTGGATCGGTTTTACTCAAAAACTGATTACTGTATAACGTATCTCGGATTATTATTAGATTTTATCTAAAACCACCGAGTGAAACTGAATCAAACCAAACCATTGTCTTGCGGTTTGATTTTCGGAATTCCGAGAGATTGCTAATTTTGATATATGCAGCATATTTGGAAGCAGCAGCAGCAAAGAGTTGTTCGTGGAGCATTGCATAAACAATGCAGAGTGTTTGACAATTGGAGTGAGGAAGCAGAGCAAAGGAGTGAGTGGTTACCTTATCAACACCAGATGGCAGAAGGATTTCTGGCTCTTGGCTTAATAAGAAAGGATTAAGGATTAGTGCCTAATAAGTAATTAAGATTGTAGATTAGCTTTGTAATTATCTCCATCTAACTATTTACTAACTAGATCGTCTTTCTCTCTCTGTTAACTATTAAGTGAAATTAGGGTAAGAGTTGACGATGGTGTACTGAGACTTTTATCAAGTGCAATTGCATTCAATCTCTATTTCTGAGTTAACAGCAATCAAATTAATTATTTAAAAAGCTTTTTATCCATATGAAACTACAAGCTTCTGGAAGGTAGACTTCGGCAGTGACGTCGTGTAGAGGTCGACAAGTTTGTCTGGGATCAGATTGCTTAACTTCAATCTTCTGATGCTCATGCTGATATAGACACAATATGCTTGGCGTTGACTTGTTGGGATGTATCATGATCTGGTCAATACATACGGCGTTGTCTTCATGGATTGTCGTTGGGACTTAACGATGGATGAAAATTGCAAGGAGTTCGAACATGCTTAACAAGAGTTCTCGACCATATCTTTTACGTGATGAGATACAATGAGTCTTGAAATGATTCAAAGGTTTCGCAACTAAAGGTCTATCTGGTTAACCACCAAGATATTGCGGTGTTCCTTAATGGTAAAGACATAACCATTCGGGAACGTACCTTGTGCGGTCAAACAGATAATCTGATTCAGCGAATCCCACAAAGTAGGCATCATTCCGAAGATCAAGGGGGTGTGATATATTCTGAGATGCATAGGGATAGATAAGCCCAAATCCGTAGTAACGGAAAACTATCTTTAACACCAAATTTGGTAGTGGCTTGTAGGCGCAATGCTGCTTTATGCCAAAAGATTATCAGCACATAAGATGTCTGATCTAGTGCATTAAGCTATGTACAACACACGCCAATTGTACTTAGATATTGTTGCCTCACATTCCAATATGGAATCTTATGCTCCATATCCTCCGTAAAGGTCTTATTTACATCTAGCGTACAGACAATCAGGGCATACTCAGACGTAACACCTTATGGGTCTAGTTTGACTGGTGGACTAAAATACCATTAGAACTAGTTCGAAAATTCAGGTCAAGGTAATGTCGAGTTTTCCCAAGATCATTCATCTTAAAATCCAACTTTAGGTGCAAGTTAGTTTTCTCAACTCTAGCAATTTCGGATTTTGTACATGCAAGAGCATATATCCCTAACTGATCAAATATTCACTTGAACATGTATACCACATCCGCCTGGATTGTTCTGCATCTACAAAGTTAAAACCTCTTGAGAACCGAGATGATGTTCTTGTGATCTAGAACTATTTGAATCAGTACATGTAAGTCATTTGAAAACTCCATGTAGGTTTCGTATCAGGATCCCAGAGATACTACAACCATGTTTGTAATGCTGCAATCAATCACATGGTTCATGAGAGAAACTTTGCGCCACAAGGCGTCATATTGCGCTATTTCATTCATCTCATTTGTCATCAATTGATTCTTCAAGTTGACCAATCATTTTTACGTAAACACTAATCAACAGAACGTGGTTCGTTATTGTTGCTTTTCATTTATGTCGGTAGTTACCATTTAAATGAAACATCATTTATGAAAATCTCATTCCAATTCCTTATCTCATCTAAACTAGTATGTTGGATCAAGAACTTCAGGTCTCGGGAGTAATCCAGATTTAATCTCATGAGATGGAAAGGATTGAGACAGCAATCAAAGGGCATATTTGTTCGTGCCACGTTCCTCCACTTTTGAGAAAGTGAATCCTCGAACCGAGAGATCTACCACGCTTCTGGTGTAAGACAGATTGATTGGCTAGCTGCCAATGTACGAGGGTCGGCCACAGTAGTGGCGTTCCTGCTTTCGGGGACGAAGGTCCATCGTACATTTGGTACATTTATCTTTGCAGGCACATTTGCAGATGTTATATGTGATCTCGTCACTTTTAATAGATTAAGACATAGTGAGAAATTGATCATATATGATCGATTGGTCATACGTACCAAGTTCACTTATACTCTGACGATCTAGATTGGGATTGAGATGAGACACAATGGGAGATTGAGAACTTGGTACGTATGACCAATCGATCATGCAATCATTTGAAGGTGTTTAATGAATGCTTCTGCTGGGTCGTTCTAGGTATGAACATGGAGTGCTGGATGTTCAACTTCAAAACCCAACCGACATGCAATATCCATCGAAAGTATTCGATGTAAATTCTCTAACTTATCCAATCGAATAGATTTGATCTGATAATCAGGGTGGTGAGCCTTGAGCTTGTTTATCTAAGCCACTAGTGTGGAGAAGACAGCTTGTGGACAACAACCACACGTGTGACCAACCTGTAGAAGCATCAACCAACATCGTAAGGTATCTAAATGGTCCGCATGGTGGTTAAATCAATCCACAAATGTCCCCTTGACTCTTTTGTAGAAAAATGGAGGGTGTTAAGGCATGATATGCTTCTAGGTATGATGTATTTACTTCTAGTAAGAGGATGCCTATAAAAGCTCATCACAGATCATCCTAGATATCTCAAACGTACATCTATAGCAAAAATTCCATCTCGGGCTTCTAATTGGTTATATAGTGGGCCTAAATGGGTGTAATCCACTCGTTAAGCGTTCTATCTTCTCTAGAATACGCTTCTGGCTATATTTGTAGGAAGTGCAATGTGGTAATATGCAAATGAATTTTACTCCAATTTCTACATTGGTTTAAATATGGTAATAATGCTCTTGAATATCCTTAAAGCTCAAAAAGTTGTTCTTCCAGAACGAAGTGAACTTCCCTTTATGGTAAAATTAGTACCATTGGACAATATAGGGCAGTACAATGCCCCACAATCAAGTTGGATAAGCCTGAAAGGTTGTTAGGGGATGATTAGGTATGAAGTTAGCATAGAACCAGACTGCTGACTTCCCCACAAAACATACCTAAGCATAAGTTAATTGTATTAGTCACATGTGGTAATTTTTGTTAATTAACTCTTATTCAAGAATAATTGTGACATCCAAACACCAATCTTAAATCCAAGAACAAAATAAATTATTCACCAAGTAAACCAAAAATACAAGGGGGTTCGGCCAATACGGCCTTCCATGTCAAATTTCGCTCTCCAAATGTGTTAGGTGGAGCAAAATTAGTCTCACATATTGACTATGAGAATGGTACTCCTCAACAACATTGGTAAAAGCACAGAAAATTGCATAATCAATGATTTATTATGTCAAAACGGAGTTAAATTCTACAGGGTTGAGGTTCCTGAATACTATCCAGTATTCTTGAAGTTTTTAGGTCTTAGGTGCCAAGGATCATGCTTCGGGCATGATACCACCTCTTGGCAGGCCCAGATTCTACCATAGGTTGTAAAACAAACTTGTATGACAAAGAGAGAGACAGACCTAAACTTAGGTTCGGTAAGCTCCAGTCGAAACTGAAGGGGTCTGTTAGGTAGCTTCTCAGCCGAATTGTTGGGTACCTTTCTCTCACGAGTGTGGTAGTAATTAGATCCAAGAATTTGGTAAACTTCCACTCTCTATACTGCTACTTCATGAGCAATTTAGATATAGAAAGACGAGAAAGATTTTCTTTCAATTGAAATTCGATTGGATATAAACTTCATAATTGTACCTATTCATGAACATAAAAAGGTTTCAATTATGTTTTTCTTTGGGCAAGAATTCATCTTTGCATGATTTGAAACGGTCCATAGCAAGTCAAAGAGCTATGAAGTCCTCGACAGTGAGGTACTTCCATTTGATATGCTTCAGGCATAAGTCTTCGAATGAAGATCATGCCGGAGGCTTATTCAGCTCTTCCACACCATAATTGTCTATAATGATTTCGCAACGAGTTGTAGTCAAGCGGGGTGTCACGTTTTGTATCCACATAAAGTAGTTTCTTGTTCGAAACTTCCAAATCAATGAAATCAAACTTGTTATGGTTCGACATTACGCTGAATGGAAAAAACAAGAATGTGATTGGTGTTTTAGGAAATAAAATTTCCATAAACATCAAAGTTATAACATTCAGGGTCTAAGACATGGATTGGTAAACGGATTTAGGCATGGAGAACTTTAGGTCTCAACATAAGTGTTGTGCGTTAAGAAACTTCAGGTTTCTATGACACTTTTCCGAAACTTCGAGTTCAGAAGCATAAACTTCAGGTTCATAATACCTGTAAACAAACACAATATATACAAGACAAAAATATGTAACAAATAAATGCATGTAAGTTGTCAGGGCTTATGATATTGATTTAATTAATTATTGGTCTTCGGGCCAATGAGAAGAATTAGGAGAAAAATATAAACCCTATAAAGCCTAAAAACGTTTAGTCTATTAAAATTGGTGGCCCAAAATGGACCAAAGCCCACATGGTTTTTTTTATTTTTTTGTAAAAAAAATGAATCGTAAAAGTTAGGAGGTCCAAGCCCAAAAAATTGAGTAGGAAAGGCCAAGCTCATGTGCACAGATATGGACCTGCAAACGCAGGCCCAAATGGCAAGGCCCAAACAAGGTGTTCTCTTGTGTATCATGGATGCACCAGCACAAAGGATGAGATCCAGTGTGCTGTAGTGTAAGGAATCTTCAACAACCATGTGGACTGGGTTCCCCCGTGGACATGGGAACACCATAGCCCAATTAGGTTGGTGTCGTGTGGGCTGAGCGAGGGGCAGCGGGCTGCGAGTGCAAGCCCTACTACAGGCCGAGGTGATCCAAGCCCAAATGGCCTTAAGTTTGGTACAATAAAAAATCCCAGCCATGCTGGGTGGGTTCACTAGGGAAAAAAACCAAAGCTGGCGTTTTTGGCAACAGAGTCTGTGTCGGGAAACCTCAAGAGTGAGGTGTGATGCATGGTGGTTCATCGAAGAACCAGTCTCAACGACGGAGGAGAATCCTCGACGTCAGGAAAAGGTAGAACCGAGGGGATTCGATCTGGGAAACTTTTGATTTTGATTAATTTCAACAGGAAATTCAAGGGACATCGTTGAAGATGACGGTGCAAACCCCAAAGGGGACACGACTGCAGGTCATGATGTCCAGAAAAAGAACGACAAAGTCGTGGGCTTGGCTTCCGGTGAGGCTAGGTTTTATGGGTTAGGGATGACGCCAAACGACGTTGTTTTCTTGGGTTCTTAGCGTAGCAAAGCTGTGCTCCAGTGCATCATAGCTCCATGTCTCGCATAGCAGTGTGGCTCAAAGCATGCGGCTCGC